GGCAACGGACGTCTCCTGCTCTCCAACCGTTCATCCCGAAAGCTCCTAGGTCCCCGTTACCTAATTGGGCTTTCACGCAAAATGTTTTTTTAGGCGACTTTTGCGGACGGCCCGTGATAGGTGCAGGGCCAGAGCATGAACGTCATCCAGTCTTTCATCTGCAGTGTCCGGAGGTCCCTGGGGGTGCCTGGTCCATGTCGTATTCTCCTGGCGCGTAGCTCGCCAAGGTTCGGGACCGCTCATTTGCGGCTAGAAGTCTATTTAATTGAATGGCGCGAGCGAGTAATGGAGCGAGGTAAGGCCGTGTCTACCTAGGTAGATGAACAGCAGAACAAAAAAGAACAATGCAGGAAATATGCGGTATGGGAAGGTCACGCTGTTCATTCCTCGTTCTTGGAATCGACTTCCCCGCAGTCTACCGGCTTTACAGTTGGGAGCTACGGGACTTTGGGGGGGGATGATGTGCATCTGCGCCAACTGCAGCGGGGGGACAAGAGCGAGATGGAGAAAACGCATCATGCTAGAGCGGCGCTAGTGTACCAAAGCTTGCTGCTTGCCCGGTGCAAGGGTAGCTGTCTGCATGGATGAGCTGTCATTGGTGGTGTCTGAGGTAGGGATGGAGGAGTGTTGAAACGACACTATGAAAGCGAGAGAACTGGTCCAATCTTTTCTGTTCATGTTTCGTTTGTTTCTACATACAGTACTCCGTACGGATACCTTACCTTGCAGTGGCCTCCGACTTTTTAGCATGGGATAGGACAAGCCCGGCGGGATGGGGTGCCCAACGGCCCGAATGGGTGGCTTGACCGGATGGCGGGGAAGCTGGAGGCCCCGCATCACCCCGCACCCGCTAAATAATCGGTAGCCCCCGGTAAACTTGGTCCGGCGGCGGAGTCTCCGCAAGCTCACCATCTGATGTCTCTCTTTCTTGACTTCCTCCCCGTTCTTCTCCGCCTGTAGTGTCTGGCGTTACCTCAACTGCTCGCTTCGACCTTGCTTCTCTCCAGGTCCAAGGCTTGGAGTTGACAGCACTCAAAATTGCAATCGGCCGAGATGAGCATGGCCTCGGCCATATTGTCGGGAGGATCTGATGTGCCAAGCGGATGTAACTCCCATAGGTTAGGACGAAGAAGCAACCCAAGGTAGAATAGAATCCATGTTCATCGCGAATTTCAACTACTTTTCTCTAGTCTCAACATTGGGTAACTTCGTCATGCTCTATCGGAGGCAGTTGGCTCCCTCATCTTTCTCTGACTACTTCTGCCAGAAACATCCCTGGTTGCCTTGAAATGAGAATTTCTATAATGTAGTATGAGAAACTAAGGATCGCCAGCTGCCTGATGAGACTGGTCAAAAGAAGTCGCGAGTCGTAGAAATTAACGCTTGCTGGGGAACCTGGTTCTTCATTAATACCTTTTTCATGTTACAAAAGTAAGTAGTGCCACGCCCTTAAAAGGTGTTTGGGCCGCCCTGTAGTCTCAAGAGTCCCGTAAAGTACCCTCTTCTGCCTGTCCATAACAGTGAACCGGAGACTTGAACTCTAGCTTTTTGTCAGTCTTGGTAGACGATGGTTTCATATTGCACCATTGATCTGTACGCTTACTTGGCATCTCGCTAATAATCATTCATTGAACCTCTCAAAGAATCTTCTGTTTGATGTGAAAACCAGCTTGAGATGCCATACGCAGTACCAAAGCTTCTCTTATCTCTTCCCAATAAAGCCACCATCACTTTCTTCTAAAGCTACCTCTCCCCAAGACTGGCAGTGCTTCTATGTGCCTTTAAGAAGGCATGAAATATCCTAGTGATGTAATAACCTGCGAGGGACTCGGGTTTCCTTCGGCCACATGCTTGGATAGAATTCTTCGATTTCGTCGGACATGACATCTCATTAGTATTACAGATTCTCAAGACCATCTCATACATGGTGGCTGAGGTGGTCTACAGACCACTATACTCATACCGTGTGGTCCCGAATCACGACAGGCAACTGTTCGAGAGCCAGTCTTGACGCCCCGATGCTATCTTGGTGTTCAAGTACTCTGGTGATATGGTCCTCCAAGGCAGCAAAGGAACTTGAATCGATATTTGCCTCCTGAATTCCCATTGCAATTAAGCTCCATAAAGAGACGACCAGCTTCCAGGATCATGAACGACGCTAGATTCCCCTGGGGCATGCCTAAGTATCTCACGCTGAGCTTCATGGCGAGAGCACCCGCCTCCATAATGACAGACTGTAATAACTCTTCCCGGAGAATACACATCTAGGCCCAAAGATGAAGGCACCCCGCCTCTATCAAGATGAACAATAACAGATGCTCCCGCAGCGAGTCCAATCCCCTTCAAATGGACCCTACGAAAGGAGCACCCGTCTCCATAAAGATAAACAGAATGAAGTTCTCCCGGGGCATATCTGACTAGGCCCCATGACGAGGGCACCAGCTTCCACAAAGGTAAACAACAACAAATCTTGCTCAAGCATACCCAAACCTCTCTTTCCCTTCTTCCTCACCTCAAAGAAGCTGGGTCAAAACATCATCAACCTCTGTCGTCAAGGGAAATCCATCCTTCGAGTAAGTTTGAGATACATCTATCTCCATCAACAAGTCTTTGCCATTCTGACGATACATTCCCGAGCAGCAGAACTTCTACTGGCGATTGCTCGAGTCTTTTCGACTATTCGTGCCAGTACGCGAGCTCATCAGACCTTGATTTACCTCGAGCGAACGGCTTCTTTCGCGTCTAGCTAGGTATCATTACCTACCAGCAGTTATCTTTCTTTTCCCCCTTCCTTGCCTCTCTATCCTGGTGTCGAACGCGATTCTCAGCAACGCTTTGCTTGAGGATTGAGCTTTTTTTTTCTCTCTCGACCGAAGTCCCATCAAGTTGCTTCGCTTTCATCGAAGGATCTTCTTCTAGCCCTCCCTCGTCTGTGTCCACCATCGACTTACCGAGCTTCCCGACTCTGAAGATCGATCAAGCCGACACTCTAGCCGGTAAGTTTCAGTTCGACTTACCCGTTTACCTTCAGCTAACAGTTATTTAGCTAGAGCCCATCCTCAAAGTCAAATTTGACTACGGGTTCCCCAAAGAATACAGGGCAAAATGGCATCTCGTGGCACTGATGAGAACGAGGGCCTTGGCGATGTCCGCCGCACTCATTCACCTGCGACTGATCCTATGCCCCAGGATCCCTTCGGTGACCCTGATTCTGACTCTGAGCTCGGCGAGTTGCCCAGTGATGAAGAAGAGGAGGACCTCTTTGGCTTTGGATCTCCGTCGGACGAGCTTGATGAGTTGCCCAAAGACACTGAAGAGGACCTCTTTGGCCACCCAGAGAGCGCCGATGACGAAGGCGAACTCACCGAGTCGCCTGAGGATACCGAAGTGGACCTGTCTGACTATCCTGAGGACGACGCTGAAGTCCAACCCATTCGCGAGTACCAGGAGCCTCTGCCTGCCCGCTTGGCTCGCGAGCACGACCGTTATCGTGCCAGCAAGAAGGTTGCACAGGGCACTGATGACAAGCCCATCATGAAGTCAGTCCAAGGTTTGGATGGCGCTTACGACATGGAGCCCTCGGACAGCTCTCATGACCCGGCTGCGACCCCGACCAAGCCGGCCCATCATGCTGTGAAGACTCCGCGTACGGCCAAGGCTCCCCGTATCTCTGACGGAGCCCATGATGGAAAGGACACTGGTGCGAAGAAGTCCGGCCCCGGTATTGCCAAGGTCCTTGATTTCAATCCCAGCCCCAAGCACTACCTTGGTCTCGGCAAGAAGATGAAGAGTGATGCTAGCCCCGAGGCCGACTTTGCTACGGCCATCGGCAAGCACGACGTCGAGTGCGGCCCCTCTACCCCGCCTCCTGGCTTCCGCTACGACGAGGAGGGCCACGGCCGCCCGCCTCCTAGTCGCCCTCGCAGCGTCAAGACAGCTCCCACAGTCATGTTCGCCGCCACCGACGTTGAGGATAACTCGCCGTCCACTCGTCGTCAGAAGAACCGCGTCCGTATCGCGTCGGCCTCGAAGTCTGCCTCGCTTGAGCGTCCCTCGATCCAGCCCGCTGGCCCTCGACCCCTTGGCCTCGAGCCTGCGTACTACGAGCCCATTAACGCTGGTGTCCCAACCACCCCGACCAAGGCCCATCGTAAGCGAAGCCGCGATCACTTTGAGAAGACTCTTACACTCGCTGGACAAGACACTGCGAACATGAAAGAGATCATGGCCAATTACGCTCTTGCAAACGGCGAGAAGGCTGACGATGCGGTCAGTGAGGATGGCGAGGGTGACGAGCTCACGCCCAAGGCCTCTATCCTCAACAGCCACATGGACATTGACGAGGATTAGTCTGGGTACCGAATGGTCTGAGAGGAAAAGTGGTCTCAATTGGTCTCATTCGGATTGCTCTTGTTTTAATTTCCACTTGGGCATCGTGTTCCTTAAGGTTCTATCCAGAGAAGGAAGGAAGAACTGGATAGGAGGAAAGACCGAGGGCCCGTCGTTGGCCGTTAGTTGGCTGATAGCCGTTTTGTGCATAACCCACCCAAGATAGTATCGCTTACGTTAGCAGCTCAATCCTCAGTTCACTTGCAAACTTGATCCGCTTAAGTCAATATCTCATCCACCATGGGCGTCTCGCAGCATTCACACCCCCTTCTGCCCCTTCCACCCTCTCCTACCACTCCAAACCCAAAACGGTACGGAGAGCAGATACATCCCACGAAGGAGACCCGTCGCACCCGCACCTAGACACACGCGCGCCAGATAAGCTCCACCCCTCAGAAGCGTCTTGTCAATCAAGGTTGCCTTTTTCTTCTTTTGTGGCAGCAGCGGTGCCGGCGCTGTCACCCCGTCCCCCCGGTTCACCTCCGGGTAAAACAGAGAAGCGAAGCGAGCACGAGAGCAGAGCAACCATCTCACTCACGACAGCTGCCCGCCAGTTGTGCAACCCAACCCACACCCCTCCCACTCGAAAGCGGGCAGAAACACCAAGGGCCATGAACTTTCCTGCCTCAACCTCCAACGACTTCGCCTTCAACCCCATCCTCAGCTCCAACAACCAGTCGCAACAGCAGTCCCAGCAGCAACAGGTCCAATTCTCTTCCCGCCAGCTCCAGCTGCAGCAACAGCAACAACAGCATCAGACTCAACAGCAGCGGCAGCAGCAGCTCCAGCAGCAGCAACAACAACAGCTACAGCTACAACATTCCCTCCCGCCGCCGCAACTTCCTTCGCCTGCGCCGTCCGCCAACGCGCAATCCCTCTCGGCCGCCCAGCAAGCCCTTGCCCACGCGCAGTACCAGCAGTTCGTCCTCATGAACGGAATGAACGGCGGCAATGTGCCCAACGGCATGGGCGGCGTGCCCACCCCTGCCGGCCAGCAGGCCGAGCTCAACTACATCTATGGCATGGTCGAGGAGCTGAGTAGGCAGCTTACGGAAAACCGTCGCGTCACCGAGGATATTGTCTCTGGTCTTGGAAGGGTGCGCAGTCGCGCGAGGACGCAGGGAATGGGCAATGACGACCTCATCCACAACGCTGCAGACGACATTCTTGGTACGCCCTTGCTGCTCGCACACCCGCCCACGCGCACATGTCCCAATTGCTTTTTACCGTAGTCACTGACACATGGCACCTTCTCTTCAGCTCAAGAACAGAATCTCGACACCCTCATCTCCATCCTCTCCGAGTCCCTTGAAAAGGCCAAATACAGCCGCGACGCCAACGCGACACTCCTCAGCCAGTACGCGACAGTCTTCGCCGCAATGCTGAAGCAATTCCACGAGTACAAGGCAAAGCACGTCACCGATGTCGCCGCATGGCACCGCTCGTACCGATCCCAGCTCGCCGAAGCCCGCGCCGAGAATAGCAGACTCCGAGAACAGATCTGGGAGATGCAGGAACGCGCGGGTAAGGCGAACGAGGTGCTCCGCAACTTCCGCCGCAAGTACGACGAGGACGAGACGCGGTGGGATCGGCGCGTGGAGGACGTGGCCGCGCGCCAGGAACTTCGGTTCTGGAAGCGCATGGCCATGCCCGAGGTCAGCGACGAGGACCCTTGCTGGAGCGACGACGACGACCTCATTGACCCGGCGGAGAAGGAGCGGTTGAAGGAGCTGGAGAAGAGAGCCGCTCAAGAACAGCTTTCTGGGAGCCAGCAAATGGGAGACGAGTACTCGCGTCCGCAGTCGCCGGAATCCAGCATGATGGGTGGCGTCCCGATGCAGAGAGATCTAGGAATCCCCATGGGTATGCCCGTTCCGCCACCAAGACCCTCGAGTGCGAATTCGAGCACTGGCTCCTCTGGCCAGTGAAGGCAGTACACAATGCATTTAGTACCTGTTTTATGAAGCATGCCATCGGGATTGTGGTGGCGTAAGGAGCATTCTGGGTAAAAAAGCTTGCTGGCGTTGGGGGTTGCTGGAAAGGAGAATCGCTTGCAAAGCAAATGGGCGATCGCATTATACCTCTTGTGATACTGGCCAAGCACCTTAGCCTTGGTCTCTTTTCACGAATACATTAATGAACGGTTTGTTGAAATGAAACGAAACTCCTACTGAGACTGTTCGTTGTGTACTGTTACTACTGTTGCTGTTGCTATTCAATTACTAAGGAAAGCAAAAGACACCCAACTCCGACTGGTTCTCGCCGCACAAAGCCCTGACCGCCACAGTTAGTCAACTCAGCGGTATCGCTGTACATCAACGGCATAAATCACTTTTCACCACGGACTAAAGTGACTCCCCCGTCGTCCGAGATGGGAACATCCTCAAGCAGACGGATACCCGTCTGCACATCCATGTCATCCAATGGGACGAGCATAGGCTGCTTCACCTTCATGATTATCGACTGCCAAACCCGATAGCCGATATACAACACAATCGGGATAATCGTTCCAATGTTGTCGCGGATGACGGCCTGCGCATCATGACCACCGATGGGCCAAATTGCCGTCAGGACATTTGCAGCGAGCCCTATAAAGCAAATGGCGAGTCCAACCCAGCCTCCCCAGACGCCAAAGGGGCTCCTCCAGAGAAGCTGACTGGTATCATTTCCCTGCGCAGCCCATGCCTTGCGGAAACGAATATGACTGACGCAGATGGACGCCCACGTGTAGTAGTTGCTAGCTCCCGAAAGGCTCAATAGCCAGTCAAAGATGGCGCCGCCGCCGGGCGCCAGGTTGATAAAGGCAAGGAGGCCAAAAACGGACGTGATGGCGAAGGCATATACAGGCACGCCCCATTTCACGGTGGCTCCCCACCGAGGGCCCATGCCCCTTTCGCAGATAGCTTGGAAGGCTCGGCTGGCAGCGAAGATGCTGGTGTTGGCCATTGAAATGATTGCCAAAACGATAAGGGCGTTGAAGAAGCTCGGGAGATGCTGGATGTTGGCGAGTTGTGCTGCGAGTGTGAAGGGGCTATATTTGGCACCGTGGCCGGTTGAGGCCAAGCCAGGGTCATCGGACGGGACGACGAAACCGAGCAAGAGGAGCGATATGATATAGAAGAAGAAGATGCGGCCAAATACGATCTTGGTCGCCAAAGGTAGGGCTTTCTGGGGATTCTTGCACTCAGCCGCCGTCAGGCCCAGGAGCTCCGTGCCACCGTAGGACATGCCGGCGGTTCGGAATACGAGGAAAAAGCCCGATATGCCATTCTTCACCGCACCGGGATCATGCCAGAACTTAGCTCCTGTTCCGTGTCTAGCAAACGGTTAGATTGCTTTATGACAAAGTGCGATTCAAGCAGAAGATAAGTACCGTGGATCTGATGGAACGGCGCCAGTGATAATGAAGATCGCAACAAAGATGAAGACGGTGATAGCGAGGGCCTTGCCGATGCCGAGGGCATGTTCAATTTCGCCGAACCACTTGGAGCCGAGGAACGAGGTCGCGGTCAGAACGATCAGTATTGGCGTTATCACAAAGGCCGGCTGTAAGTCTGGGGCCCAGTACTTGATTTGAGCTGCGATCACCGTGAGCTCGAAAGGAAAGACAATGAGCCAGTTAAACACGAAGTTCCAGCCCATTGCGAATCCCCAGGGTTCTGATATCATGCGTCTCGAATACTCGTAAAAGGCGCCTGCTACAGGATACGCGGCTGCAATAATATATTAATTGTGCACTGCTATTGCGGTCTGACATATCGATACGAGGGGAGAGTTTGGGACAGAGATGCGGAAGAACACTTACCGGCCAGTTCACCCAGGCAGCCCATGGTACATGTTACGCCGAAGCCGACGAGAGCGAAGTTGAGGACGAGAGATAGGGGTCCGCCAGAGCCGAGAGCAGCACCAGAACCGACGAAGAGGCCGGCACCAATGGAGCCACCCAAAGCCATGAATACCATATGCCGTATGGAGATGTTTCGCTCAAGCTTAGCGCCTTCGGCGGCGTCGATGGGATCGGACATGCCTTGGTCGCTTGGTGACCTCGTGGCCCTCATCTCCAACATCGTTGCCTCTTTGTTAGGAGCCATCATGGAAAATTTGCAAGGGAGATAGATATAAAGAATGAGGATGAAGATGGCAAGATTAGGGAGCGAATGTGGGGGAAAGAGGTGACGGCATGATGGAAGCCGTGATGGAAGCAGAGAACGGAACTCGGTCTATATAAAGGAAACGTAGCAGCTTCGAAGGGCGGACATCCCGATGGAAGTGAGCAGGGGCGGGACGACAATACCACGGCACATGACTTTGAACGGCTCATGTAAAGATAAGAGAGGGCAGAGATCCCGGACGGTCGAGCCTTCACAAGGTTTGGAAAGGGCGTTCCGGGCCTCTACGGCCACGCGAGTGGCAGTTGCTCCTGGCCGGGGCTGTCTCGCGGTCTGCAGACATTGTGCTCATCTCTGCCAGCTATCTTCTTATTCTCTACTAAATATCACACATTCAACCATTACGGGGGAAGCACTCGTTCGTCAACAACGAAATGCCTCGAGCATAAGACCAGAAGAGCGCCAAAAGACAATTCTCTTCGCAGTCCTAAGAGCCCCGAGTCGCTAGGTCAGCTCCATATCGAGATGTGCCGACCAAGGTCCTCACGCCAGCCTGGCCGGCAATGATTCTGGCGCCACGCATGTAGCATGGCAATGATTTACGGAACTCCACCAGGTGAAGCCGAGAAGTGAGTCAGGAATGGTTTGTGGTCCAGAAAGTCAAATATGCGCAGTAGTATTTCGTGAGTTGTCACTTCTCGGGGAGCAAGCACAGAAGTTTTGAAATTGATCCATAAGTTTCGGCTTCATCAACGGGATCAATCCATCTTAAATTCCCCTGATTTTTCAGAAGAAATATCGACGATGCTATTTGGAAGAAGAATCACGTCAACATTGTGTTCCCCGATGTGAAACTCAGACCAGCCTTACATGCCATCATGGCTGTTACACTTTTGCTCTGACTAGTCACGATGTGTAGTACGGGGGCTTGTCTCGAACAAGCCCTCATGCTCGTTGTCCCGTGACGGGAACATGCTTTCTTACGTGCAGCTGTGTGATTTTGACATTTAGTTAGGCCTGAAGCTTGTCCGCATACGATCGTTGCGCCACAGAACATGAGTGGTTGCTGGCGTCTTACTCGTAGCCTCGCAACCTGGAGGGCTGGTACCGCGTTGGGCACGTCTTATGTCCAAGGTACATCACTACCACCCATTCTTGTCCTTGGCCGGGAATACAGAAGCATTGAACTCGCCAGATGAGGTTCAAATATCACTTACTCCTCGAGGAGGCGCGAGATGAGCCTCACACGGCACGCTCTCTGCCGGAGAAATGTAGTTACTATTCGGAGTTGTGGGCTCAAACCAGGCAACATCGTTTGAAGAAGGCCATATTTCCTCATGAGCCATATCCTTGTGGCAAACCACTTGCTGGTCGACATCCAATCGAAACCGGCATACACGCTATCATACAAGCAGAACCTTAAGTAGAAGAGAAACCATAATACTCAAGTAGATCAGTAGCCACTTTGCTCCCGACGCGAATCGTCATTATCGTCCTTTGACCCATTGGCTGAACCTCCCGCGTCCTTGATGGCCTGGTCGTCGCCTCTGAGCTTGGCAAAATAAGACTTGATGTCCTCTGCGCCAATTGCTTTGCCGCTCTCTGCAAATTGCTGGAAGAACGGCTTCAACTGGTCTTTCAGATGGTTGTACGCCATGACACCTTCGATGGCACGAACACGGTCTACATTGCGCAAGGCACTCTCTCCGCGCTCCAGGAGGCTGCCGCTGCCATTTGTGGAGCCTCCGTGCTCCGAGTTCCCGCCATCAGACATTGGCGGCTCGTACGTTTCTTCCTCTTCCAGAAGCTGTGGGTGCGGGTCTAGATTAGGGTAACATGACGAACATCGACATATGTTGTTGCGGAAGTCTTCTGTCATAAAGAGCGAGAACTCTCCGGCCGGTGGAGATGGAAGTAAAGCCCACCGACATGTAACGGACGAAGCCTCCTGAGTCTCCTGCTTAACAGCCGGAGCACTGCTGGTGGGTTGACCCTCGGCTGGCCCAGATGTACCTTTCAGTCGCTTAGCCTCTGATACGTCGGCGTCGTCTTCTGCCTTTCGTTTCTTGGCCACCTCCTCCGTGCCTATTACCTCTGCGTTCTTCTGAGTCGAGAAGACTGCTGGTAGGAATCCCTTGGCGCCCGCATACTTTTTGATCCACGGGTTGGCATTAACGCACTTGTAGCATAGGAATGCTTCAAAGTCGTCCTCGCCTGGAAAGCCGGGTGGCATCGGTGGGTCTTCGTCCTCATCCTCCACATCCTCATCACCGTCCTGTTTCTTGGCGGCCGTTGCTTCGTCCCCAGGGCGCGCTTCCGAATCTTCCGAGATTGTGGGCATAGCTGTGGCCTCTGTGGGTTCCTTAACAGTTGCGGGCTTCTCCTTCTTCATGCTCTCAAACCAGTTGGGCCCCATTCCAACCAAGCAGCCAGGGTGGTACCAGTCTTCGCCGCAGCCGCCTGTCTCGGACGTACCCAGTCCCAAACACTGAAACATGGTGCCTTTCTGCTGGAAGGGGTCATAATCACACTCGCACGCACAGAATCTATTTCTAAAATTCTGGTTGTACTTGTTGTTCGCGTCCGGCTCCTCCGAATGCACGCCGCCCTTGGTATTAGTAGTAGAGTTGAGGCGCAGACTGCAGGGAGTGGTAGGCGGATATCTCTTAGTACCGCAGTCGCATGTGAAGTTTCTCTTGGTGAATATCTCGACGAGAGTGTGTTCGCCGTGGCACTGGATAGAGCAAGCATAGCAGACTCCTGCACCATCATATGGGTCCTTGGGTTCGGCGGGGGGAGGATTGCAGGTCAGGCAGGCG